AAACTACAGCACTGTTAAGTGTCGCTTTGTCACAAAGTTCAGTTGAACCACAACCATTGCATCTCTTCAACTCAAGTACATGTAAGAAATACTGCATCGCTGCATCTTAATTCAAGTTCTACAGCATTGCCCATCTCAACCGCTTACTTCCTCAACACCTGAAACCTTTTTCGTATCAATATCGTGCAACCTTTCCCGATCAAAGGTCTCCTTTCACACTTCCGTCCTGCATAGGCTCGTATAATCCTGCTTCGTGAAACCAGGATGACGTTTCATCCTTGCACGAGCCTCTACACTACAGAGTGCACCAGGGCACATCGACCCAGTGTTGTGCTTCTACTAGCCCTGTACCATCTCCAGGTAAAAGCCTTGTTTCTGTCCTTCATGCACGTGACATTAGTGTCTCACATCTGCAGCATCGCATTGACAATGAAACAATACATAAAATCCTGCACCGCACGCAGACAGAACACCAGAATCACAGATCGTGCTGCGATAACTTTGTTCGGGATGAATAAGTTACAAAATTAAATAAAAACCAAAAGGTGGCGTGACACATTCAGCAGCTGCTGGGATTTGAACACAGCGTCTGGAAGCCCTGGATGACCTAAGCTACTAGCTGCCATCAAAGACAAATTCATTTGTTTTTAACAAAGTGATCATGAGTCCGTGCAGTCGGAGGAAGCCCTTAACAACTTGCTGCAGGTTTTGACGTGTTTTGTTGTCATGGCTTGTCTCATTCAATGAGCTGATTCCACGTTTTGTTCCTAAGGACCGCCGACGGTGACCGTGTACCGTCGTGGCGATGCCGCACGGAACATCCGTCAAGAATTCTAACACTACGGGAGGCAGTACTAAAATACAACCAGGACGCAACCAGCTCACGTTGTAATGCTATGAAAACACAAAAAACTACCTGGAAAACTACTACTACACGTACAGTGCACTACATTCGGCCAGTAGTACGGCATCCTACGATTATGACAGCATATCGTCTGAGAGAGTGCCTTACACAGCTTTGCTGTGAGAGTGGGGTGGAAGACCAAAAACTTAACAAAACCATTAAGAGCTGTCTCTTTTTTTTCCTTTTCAGTTTTATGTTTTTTTTTTAAAGTTATTTTTAAGAAGGGCTACAGTTACAGTGCGTGAAAAAAATGCTTCCAATCCAGCCCCTTGTTCTCATTTCTTCGGGCAGGAGTGGACACCTCTCCTTGACCTGGACAAAAACATTCACGTGTGACATCAGAAAAGCCCCGTCCTCTCCTAGAGTTCGAAAATGTCTCTAGGCCACACACACAGCCCAGACTCAAATACCAGGTACAAAACAAAGCAGACGACCTTAGTGTAACAGACAGGATGTAACAGAATCAAAGGCTCTGACGTGGACATTTGAAATGACAGAGGGACAGCAGGACGGTCCTCTAAGGTTGAGGCCAGAAATGTAAAAGCGATTGTCAGGCAGCCCAAACTTACACACCTCAGACACATTCCTCAAATCGCACCGCTCTTACGTTTCTTACTCAAAGCATACTTCACATTAATCGATGCAGCGGCCACGTTCAAAATGCAGAGCGACTGTTCTCGACCTGTTACCGTTAGGTTCGATCGAGAACAACAACACATCTATTAATAGCATTCATTTGGCTTGAAGGGATGGCTGATTTTACTCTTCTGTGGCAAAGTACAAAGACAGATTGACTCTACAGAAGTCCCCTGGGTGTGGTGTTCTGCTAGGTGCCTGACTATGTGCCAACCTCAAAAAAGTTTAGCGCCGACAGAAATTATTATTATTTTTTATACAGCAATACCCACCGCTCCGTGTCACGGCACAGGCGGAAGCAAAAACACGGGGCTTTGTTGTGTCCTCTTCAGGAAACATAATGAGTAGAAAAGTACAGGCCTCGGTGACAACTTCATTGAAAAATATCTGAAATACAAAAGAGTCTGAGGGACACGGCTGCAACAGATACAGAGAAAGCAAAAGTGAGAGAAGGCAGGCAGAAATTCATAGAAGCCCGAATGAACAGAAATGAAGACAGAGCAGCAGCTCCGGGTCAGAATGAAGGCCTGAAGAGAGATAAGACACTGGTTTCCTTCCACGGGTTCAGAAGTCACAGGCCGTCCTAGACAGACCCATCTGTGGAGAGGTTTTGATCAACTTCGC